CGAAAAATTTAGATACAAAATAATTTTCAATTACTCTTATCACTTAAAAAGTAACATTAATTGAATTTTTTTGTTTTTAACCTTATCTCCAAACATAAATGGAATTTCAGTTGAATATATATAAGTCTGTGAATGAGAATTAATGTTGTGTCACATCATATTTGGGTCTCGAGGAATCTTTTGAGATAGACACACCAAGCTCCAAGGTTGCTATAATTTGATTTCTCCATTAATTACTTTTTATGAAAAGGTCCACAACTTTCAAAACCATTCTCGGCCGGGTTACCTAGTGTTATTCATGTTTGAGTTTCATTTCCAATTTGTTTAAAAAATAATATAATTCATTCAAATGATATACTAGCATGTTTAATAATTATTTTTAAAATTTAGTATGAATGCAGGAAGACATTAGCGGATAGTAGGCCAAGAATAAGAGGAAGATTTGCACGAAATGATGAATTGTCACAACAAGAACAAGTTGATGTTATTGAAGCCGTGGTTGGAGATGCTGACACGTGGGCATCTTTTCTTGATTCTTTTTCTGCTAATCACTTCCTTAATTAACCTCTTCTAATTATATTTGTGTGTTTTCCCTATATATGTTTATAAGCCACTTTAATTTGTTTTGGTTTAAAAGATTGCCCCATGTTGCTAAACTCATGTAGGTTTTGTGTTTCCTTTGTAAATAAGAATAACATATTTTGTATTTTTGTTCGGAAATATTTGCAAAATAATCGATCTCCATTGGCCAGAAATCTTGGGACGAGTGGTATAGAACCACTTCGTCAATCCTTGTTGGCATGGCCATGGGAGTTCGACCCTAAGTTCTCAATATAAAATGATTTATTAAATAAGTTAATGGCAAAAAATGATATTCATCTACAATTTGCTCATTTCATAATGTGTCCGTTTATAATTTGACTTCGTATCACAAAAATATGGTATACTTTTACCTTTTCAATGCAAAATATCATAGTGTAGAGCAATACTTTTTTTGTTTGTTTGATAAAGAATTGTAGAGTAATACTTGAAAAACGATAAGTGTATATAGGATATATAAAATCTATTTGTAATATAACAGATAAAGAATAAAAGTGTGTAATTTAGTGGTTTGTATTAATATTACAGTTGTATCATATTCGTGTATAAATATATGGTAGACCGCGTTGTGTAAGTTGTATACGATAAAAAAGAGAGAGATTAAAAATAATAAAAGAACTCCATTTTTAAACCAAAATTGTCATTTCATGCCATTATTACTTACGTGGACCCGTAAATAGTTTATGGATAGTTTATTGTGTTCCTTAATGGTCGAATTTTCTTTTACCAACTTGATTAACAAAAATAATCAGAAAGTACAAAGATGATAACTTTTAGCATTGAAAAAACATGTAATGAACATGGTCATGTTACTTTGATGATTTCATTACTCTCATGTTGATTGCTCATCGTGCTACTAAGTACTAGCAATCTCCAAAAGCAAGCATACATTATACCTTAAATATTCTTAAGAAACCAAAGAAGGTTCAGGCACTCATATAAAGTAATCAGCCTAAACATTAATTGTCTTAAATTAGTAATAAAAAAAAAAATGGACCACAACCAGGGTTGTTTAATTTGCTTGCATAATTAAGGTATAAACCAAACTAAAATGAACTTTGAGCTTTATTAAAAGACATTTGATTTAAGTTCTAAACCCGATTCGATATTAAGTCTCTGATTGATTTATACTCTGTTTTATTTGATATTATTTTTCT